AAGGCGGGAGTCATGTTTCGCGTGGTCAAATTCGGTCGTTATGTAATAGTACATGCCATATGTCACGTTAGCCTGAACGTTCGCATAAAAAGGAAAAACAAAAGGATAACATTGAGAGCTTGGGCCGCCTGTGATCGGAACAGATCCAGCTGACTACTGCATTGATCGCCAATCGAACCCAACAGATGCACATGTTAGATTACTGGACATTTGCGTGTCTTTGAATACGAACCACAGTCACGCTATTTATTCCCAAAGGGAGGTCTGGCGTGATAAGATCTGACAGATAATGAATGCAACAGCCAATAGTCGGCGGTCTTAGAAAATTATGCACGGATATTTGTTCTGGGACGTTATCTGTTCCACGAAGCTCACAGTTTTCGAGCTCTCGGAACAGATAACTTCCTCTGGCAAATATCAGTGCATCAACCAGAGGTTGTTTTCTCATTCCTTATTTTATGAACGATAGTAAAATAATCCACATTCTTTATCCCTATTTATGTAACCAATATCGGTGACTCATTAGCAACACGCAATGTTCAATCATTCTCTGGTACCTATTATTTACTGTATGCGGCAGAAACTGAATTGTATTTTAAACTTATTTATTTACTTTTAAAGCTCGTTTACGTACGGCAGTCGTCAGTTTTTGTGCTTTTTAACAAAACACACTCGGATTCAATGCGTCGCTAAGTTACCGGTACATATGACTGAACTCCTGTTATTATTTGTTTTGTTTCAGTCCTTATGCAATTGTTTCAAACGGAACCAATACAGGTGAGAACTAGTGGGAAATATCATTACGAGCGCTAAGTCAGCGTTGTAATCGTATCCAAGCTCGTAACACTTAAAGATTTGTAAGTTTGGTAAACGATAGCACGACTGTGAGCAAATCCAGTTTTTCGAGTTGAATCGTCTGGTGAAAATTTAAAAAAAGCTGAACAAACACTTGAGGAAAGCAAGTTTAGCAGACCTTTACTTACGTAAGAGAGCGAGCGAAAGGTCTGTTTAGTATGGCCTCGAGTTACGTCCCATTAATAACAGGTGTTGGTTTGGTGGGAGTCTTCTTCAACTCACGAATGCTGTTGTCGTGTTTGAAAAACAAAACGAAGTACACATTTCTCCAGAACATCTGGCCCGTGGTGATTTGTCAGACTGTCTACCATGTCACGGTCCTTGCCATGAACACAGTGGACGCTTGGAGGAAACTCGATGTGCAACGAGTAGAATATTGCAGTGTGGTCTACGTGCTAGTGTCGACCGTCGTGACATTTTTCGTGGGTGGAAATTTGATGGCAATTTTAGCGATGGAATCTCGCAATACCCTGGCGTCGGTGGATCAAAGCCGAGAGCCATTTTCCACGTGTACACTTTTCAGAACGGCTGTTCTTGCACTGGGATTCTCTGTTGCTGTAATTTTACGATGCTACATTTGTTTTGATCAGCAGTTAGCATTTTATGTGATGAACATCAGCGTGATCGTAGTGGTAACCATCATTGTTCTACTACTTGTGGCCTGTGGATCGAGCGTGCCGAGTTTGGATCTCGACCGCATCGCTCCTAACCATCCGATGCCGAGAACATCTTTGCTAACCCGTTGTAGGAACAATAAGGGAACCGTGCTATTTGTAGCTTTGTTTTTAATGTGTATTGGCTTAGCCATGACGCAGTTATTCTCCACGCAAGCCTTTCAGGCGTTTTCTTATCTGTTAATTATGAATGCTGTCGTTGGAATCGCTCTTCCCGTTACGTTTGGTGACTTTATTATTTTAAGCAGCAAGCTGGAAAATGAGATGAAAACTGTAGAATTCATTTAGCCTATTAAGACTCAAAATTACATGCATGGCTGAAGGACTTGTTGTTCAAAGATATGATTCTTGAATTCACATTATTTTCATATCTTTGCAAAACTGTTCACGCCGAAACAAACTTTTTAGCTATTGGGCACAAAGGCAAGAAAACCTGCATGTCATTTCGATTTATTTGAATTTTCAAATGCAATTAGGGCAATTTATTTATTTATATATATATATTTTTTTGCATGAACGCTGAAAATTTAGGTTACAAACTTTTCCTTCGATATTACTGACTGAAAGCTTTCTTTCAGTGTTATTTTTAGGTGTGAACAAAAAAACAAACAAACCCGGGCCATTGGCTATAATGATCAATCATGATCCATCATGCACTGTTTGAGTAAGCGAAATTACGCTCTTGTAAACTTCGAGGAACAGCTCTCCAACTGTTTTGTTGTTTCGGAAAATTGTACATGATGTATTACTCTTGACTAAGTTATCTATCACAAAACTGGATTTATTGATATTCAGTGTTCGTGCTTGTCCAGTTAACCAAAAAAAACTATTTGCGCGAACCATTTCGTTAGATTTCCTGGACTTGAAAGACGAAATTCGCAGATCAAGATGTCGAGAGATAGCAACAAAAATCAATTGACCGTTGTTGTGAAGGAAGAATTCAAGATAGATTGGTGGAATAATTTAGATTAGTATAGGTGATCGTATGAATCGAGTGCAATTAAGGATTTACGCTACGAGTGGTATTTGAAAATTTTCTCAAAATTGCACGAGCCTTAGGGCGAGTGCAAATTGAAATAATTTCCATAGTCATGTGTAGCATAAATTTTTAATTCCTCGAGCTTTCATACGATTAGTCATTTATTTCATGACTGAGAAAATTGCCATCGCGTGCGCGTTAATTTGCGCTACAATGCAAATTACGAATTAACGATTAATTGGCTTCCTCTAAGCCAATCACAGTGAAGTAATTTTCTCATTCATATAATAATCTCTGCAACTTTTAACGACCCGCCTAGACACTGGCACGCGTGTGAAAATTAAAGTTTAGCCGAAGTGTATACCATGTGGTGTCATAATTTTTTACATATATAACAAGAGCATCGATAACCGGACATTGCATTGAGTGAGGTATGACTCTGCAACAAAACATTGTGAATTTTCCACACCTCAGAGAGCCCATTTTGGGATATTCCACACTGGGCCGGAGGAATTTGGAAACGCAGCTTTTTTTCCTCCGGTTAGGCCTTCCGTCTACACTAATACGTCACGAAAAAGGACTTTTTGGAAAACGCTCTTCAAACCGGAAGAATTTGAAAACTCTGGCTTTGTGTTTTAGTGCCCAGAGACAATTTTCTGCAGTCTAGCAAAAAAAACCAAGCGAAGCGAGTGCGCTTATTGTCCTTTTGCCCATAGTTCGTCGTTCTGGTGCACCTTCCGTAATCTTCTAAGCGGATGTAAATTTAGGGGCACTCTACTGACGTCATTGTTTACATTTTTGCTCATTTGCATACGACTTTACGCACACAAGAAAACTTGTTAGATATAAATTGACTCCAGGCAGCTAAAGAGCTAGTAAAACTTAATACATGGTGAAAGTTTTAGCTCTTTGGGTGTAATATTCAACGAGATGTTGTCTTTCAAAAACTGCAAAATTTCTGGGTGGCAAAAGCGCTAATGAGCTCATACGTTCTTTGTAACATTTTGAGTTTTTAAACCCGCGTTGCACAAAAAGTATTCAATACATCAGGCTCATATTCATTGGCAAAGTTAATCGTACTATGACCTTTCAATATTCAGAACTGATTTATTTGTAGCTCCATCAGAAACTGAACTGCCTATGCTAATGAGGCAAATATTGTAAACAAGGATTTTCCCCTTTTTAGCCTCAATAGACCAATTCAGATATCTAAAAATTCTAACTTGGCTTGAAAGCTTAAGGGAATAACACAAAAGAAATTATTTGCTCATCCTTCAGCCTTATTGTGCCTTTTTCTGTTGTTTATTCTTCTATAAGCCTTGTAGCAAACACGGGCTGCCTATAGGGGTATTACAAAAATTCAGAATGACTAATATACATAAGTGCTTCATCTCATGCAGACAAGCATTGCCTGTTGAGAAAGGAATGATGGTTTATGTTAAGTTTACTAAAGATGTAAGAAGGATGTCTTAAAATTAGTCACCCAAACGTTATGTGGAAGGCCATAGACTCAACTCCTTTTTAAAAAACTGAAAAAAAAAAAAAAATAGAATAGTAAATAAAATTCGACGTAGTTTTTGTATTTACTCGTCATCGTGTTTCTCATAAGCTCGGGTTAATGTAGTAAATGTGGAATTGTTTCTTCGCAGGAGAAGGACATGGTGACCCCACATCACCCCAATGGGGAATGTCTTACATTAAGGTAGGAATCTGATAACCCGGCACTGCAATAATATCATCATCGGTTACCTAGAGGCGAGACTAACTATGAAAGAGGGTGTAGAAGGTCCTTGGAGGTTATCACCCAAGGACAAAATAACCAAATGACTGAAACAGAACTGGGCTCTGTCCAAAACTAGCTCCTCTATTCGAAATATTGCTTATCAATTTCTTCAATCTATCCTTGGATTTTAAATCCTTTCGATTCTTCGAATGACGTCTGGTACGTGCATTCCCACGTTTAGTAGTCAAGTACTGAAACGGCTTTATCTTTTTTACCTCTGTGATTCTTTGCATCCAAACGTTGGACAATCTCTGTTGCAACTCTCTCCATCACTTCACATATCAGACACACGAACCAGAAACCCGGCGAACTCTTCCATTTTACCATTGTGCCCAACTATTCAAGGTTGATTAACTGGTAGATGTCCAATCGAAAACTTCAGCTGCTTTAGCTTCTTCACTCTCGACCTCGTTACTTCTTTCCTTTCTTCCTGTCCCTTGGAGTGAGAATGGGTGGGAATAAGAATGTCTTTATCTTTACCTGCTTTTTTTTACCATTTTCTTCGCCTCAGTAAAACGTTTTGCTTTCTTGTGACAGACTGAAGGTGAAGAGGATGAGACATATGATGACCCGATGAATGTTGTTCCCAAAACGCCGCAGTCATAAAAGAGGTGGAATTAGAGACGGCGAAAGGAGAAGTATCTATGGACCCTCGCGAGGAACGACTAAGGTCTCTGAAGAGAGCACCTTGCATGAACCTTATTCGTTTGATCAAACAAGATTGACAGTTGTGTGCTGTCTCGGGCAGAGACGTTGCTCGCCATCATGACGAGTTCTTGCCGTACTGACCTGAAGTGTTTCGGACAGCTGGCGCTGGTTTCTGCTTGTATGGTAAAAGTCGGAAGCCCTTCAAGTGTTCAGGATCCTAAAGACTGGATTACAGCTCAGTAGTTGTTAAATCATATCATTAATGAACCTAGGGCAGAGACCCATGTCCCCCTGCTCTTTTGACATAGGAAGGGCTCTAAACGTTTTGAACAAGAAAATAACGCCCTTGCCACTGCGGACGACAAGTCGTGAAATACTGAACTTGCTAGTGTTCGAAGGGATGATCTGAGATCGACTCTTCCACCAGTCTTTCCCATTCCTGCTTATCAAATATCACCGAACTACGGGTCAGAATCAGAGTCGATGAATATTGTGATATAAGTCAGTGTGACCTTTATTTATAGGGCACATGAGAGGTAGAAACTGCTTACGTAGAATATACAGTATAGTTATACTAGCATGAATTCTACACTGACAACTTTTCTGTGTTTCTGTGATTATTCTTTTGAAAAAAGGAGATAATTTTTCTGTCTTTCCGTGAAATAACATCTTAAAATGATCTATCTTCCAACGTGCTTGTCTTGTGCTATCTGAATTTATAACTGCATAATTAGCTCTTGTTATTAGTTCTTCTTAACAGTGAATATTGAATAAACTGTCGTGTGCAGAAGATAGATAGGTACTTTTACTTGATTTATATCAGGGTGGCCCTTTTACAAGCAATAGAACCTGATACCAACAGGGGCGCTGATTAAAGAGACATAAGAACTAAGATGAACCGACTTATTACGATTTCTTCCACGTCTGTCAACATTTAGAATATTATCTGGAATATGAATGATGGGGACTGTCAAATTTCCCATTTTTGACTCTCGTAACTTGGAACGTATCGGCCAGGAAGTTTGAGTTGCGAAATAACTAAAGAACTTGTTTTGCTGCGTGGCTAATGAAGTGAACAACACTTATTGGGGCAAATTACTGCTCACTTGTTGGGCGTTGACTCGACGAATTTCGTTCACAGAGTCTTCACTAGCATGGCGGCGGATTTGCCCCGGAAGAGTGTTCACTAGACTTAACTGATTTCTCAATGTAACGTTCGTAAAAGGAATAATTCGTCGAGCCAAACTAGAAGTCTGATGTTTACGAGCTTAAAACTTTTCGTCGGACCAAAAGAGAAATCACCGTAAACTAAAGTGTAGGGTCAGAGATTAGACGACATTAAAAGCTCTCTTACAGGTAGCTTTAGTCCCATTTATGCAACTATTTAAACCCCTTTTCCCTTCAAATCAATACCGTTGTCTCTTACTGTCTCGTTTTTCTCCTAGTGAATTAAAATGGAACCGGATAGCCTGCGTTGCGAGCGTTCCGTAGGAAGAGCTTTTTCCGCATTCTGGCTGCGCGCAAATTGGAGCTCTTCGTACGGGAAGGCTGGTTAAGCAGGCTAAGACCGGACTGTTTATGCAATTGTGAATAAATTTAGAAAGAAACAAATTCCGTTATAATAAACAGACAATTGAATGAAAAACTGGAAAAATACACACGCCTTCTGGCTCGAGTACATCCCTCAAATTTGGCCATTCAAATCTTTTTCTTGATTTCTTCGATTTTTGTTTGTCTCATATTTCAGAAAGCGAATAATATTGAAGTTATCTGACATCGGATTCACATACGAACTCTATACATTTGTATGATAGCCTTTTGACAACATTCACACAAGTCAAACATGCAGTAAAGCCTTGAATTTATTTGAAAAATTAGTACCTTTTGTGATGATGGCGGAAAGTCTCTTTTAGCTGCAATTACCTTTTACCGATCCCGCTTGCCGACAAAGACTCTTCCGCCTCCGCCGACAAAAGGTGTGCAGGATATCCCTCACCGCGGTCATTTTATCATACCGCATCCCGCCAAAGCCAGATCATTTGATAGAAGAGTCGAGATATTTTAACGAGCCAAAATTTAGCACGCATTGCGGACATATATACCTTTTTTTTTTTGATCGAACACAGAAGAGACTGGGATCTAGAGTGAACCACGAGGCAAGAACAATATTCAACATGGTGGGTAAAGATGCTAAATGTTGTGCTTGTTTTTATCGTTCTAGGCCATCTAGTTTTCTCTTTCGTAGGCTAATTCCAATGTCTTATCCTGCCTTTAGGTTCTGTTCGTGTTGTACGAGCATGCCTCTGGCTATGCAGTGTTTAAAGTCATTGCACAAGAAGAAATCGGAGTGCTTCTGCCAGAAGTACAGGAGGCTGTCGCCGATCTTTCTCGTTTCGGAAAGTTAGTCAAACTAGCATCATTTGCACCCTTCAAATCAGGAACGAATGCTTTAGACAACATCAACTGCATATCGGAAGGTTTGTGTGCGAAATATTACAGTGCAGTGAGATTGTGCGATAGCGGTTTGTAAATGTTTTGTTTGCTATAAGCTTAGTGGATCCTAATTAAGCTTAAGCTTATAGATATTCGAAGTTCAAAATGTAGGCTGAAAGCTTTTACTGTAGTGGTTATCGTTGACAAGGACGGTTGTTTTAGTCCATTGGGGAACAAACTGCTAATCAGATGAATTTCGGTACCGTGTTATGGTATACTGAAGTGTGCAGTGATCGAAGTCAAACAAAACAAAACAAGACTGATCGCACACTGATATGCATGAAAAGCGTGCTGACTAGTAAAGATAATATGTATGGATACTTAGGTTGCTGCAGAAGGAGCCATTGACTTTGGGCCTTAAAGGATTATAGAGTTCTTCATGGCTCTTTTCTTGTTACCTTTGTGTCAAAATAGCTTTTTCGCTTGGTTTAAAATGTTTGCCAAATCCAGAGTTCCTGTACAGTAATTAATGCAAATGACATGCCTGAAATTTTTTGTTGTATAAAATCTTTTGCTTGATTGTCTGAGAGAGGCTTTTGTCTTGATGAAAAACCTTGTTTTTGGAGCTGAAATTCAAAGAGATGTATGGCAATGTGTGAGAAGTAGGTCTGGTAACAGCAGTTCATAAGTATTGCTTCGTTTACTTCAGGTATTATTCACGATGACCTCAAGACATTCTTGGAAGCTAACGTTCCAACTGGAAAGAAGAAAAGCAAGGTTCTTCTTGGTGTCGCTGATCCTAAACTAGGAGCAGCTATTCAAGAGACTGTAAACATCCAGTGTGAATCAGGAGGATTAGTGGTGGAAGTTCTCAGAGGAATAAGGTTTCATTTTGAGAAGATGATCAAGGGACTAACAGGTCCTATGGCAGCCAAGGCTCAACTGGGTCTTGGGCACAGCTACTCTAGGGCAAAGGTGAAGTTCAACGTTCATCGTGTGGACAACATGATCATTCAGTCCATCAGTTTATTAGATCAGCTGGATAAGGACATCAATACATTCTCTATGAGAATCAGGTATGATCAAGATCATTTCGGTCAGTGTAAAAGGCAGACTGAGGGTAAAATGTAGACCGCGTACGACAGACTTTTTAAGTCTATATTTTAAGTCTATATGTTATTTCATCACCGTAAACAGTATTAGTTACGCTAATTGCAGTGAATGTCTGCACCGGTCAGCCTGAATGTCACTCCAGGTAGCCTGAATATCACTCAGGTTAGCCTAAGTAATGCTTTGGTTAGCCTGTGTATGGTTAGCTCTCAATGTGAAAATAGTAGCACAAGTCAGTTAAAAAGTCTATAGTCTGCAGTCTTCATTTTAACCTCAGTTTGCATTCTGCAGTCTGCTGTCTGCAGTCTTCATTTTACCCCTGGTCTGCAGTCTGCAGTCTGCATTTTACACTGACCGAGATCTTTTCAAATTCATCTCTAAAAGGCACATTGCTGGCTAGTTAGTTCATTGGATGTGAGATTAGGAGGTCTGTTGTGCAGTCCCAGGCTATTGTCATTCTGTTGTGTTATTGGACAGTGTATTCCTCCTAGCTGGGGCAGTCTAAGACAGGGCAGTAATTAACTAATAGATTCCATGTTGCCATACATGTATTCAGTAACAGATCACAGATGACATCAAAATGTGGTAAAAACAAAAAAGTGGCACATGAGCCGCCAGGCGAGTGTGTCATTGATGTTGTTAAAACATTTTGACATCTTCTGTGATCTATTATTGCACAGATGCACAGGATTATGGAATCTATCTGTTTCATATAATGAAGGGACAAAAATAAAGTTAATGATGCCATCTATATGTCTGTTCTCCAATTAATTATCATAAGTAAGAACCAATCAAAATGCAAGGTTAAATGATCTTCAAAACAATTTCAAGCAGTTTTAGTAAACACCCTGTTGGCAAGGGCACACTAACATCTGTACTTCTATAACTTGATGGAAACACAACCAACACAAGCTATTGATGTTATGGTGGCCTGTGCAAAGAGAATTTACACTATGATAATCAAAATGATTTTTATTTCTTTTTCTCCGAGTGTTTATCAAAATTAAATAGTGTCTCTATCTTGTTATAGAAACTAGACAATAGTATTTTTATCAGTTTATAGAAACATTTGTGATAAATAAAGCTGTGAAAGCACTTGCATGTGGGTTGTGTTTCTACTACCTATTTCTCATTCACCAAGGCTTCCTCTCATGTTTCTTTAATGCAATAGAAACGTAGAAAATGTTTTCTATATCTTGAATACAACTAGTAAGCCTTGCTGACTCAACTGATTAGAAACAGCAAGCAGCAAGTTGTAATTGTATTGTACTGTAGTTCTCATTTATCCTTCTGATTGACACAAAATGACCCTTCCGCTTTGCTGATACACATTGTCTTTTCACTATTACTACACGTAGGAGAGGCATTACTAGCTGCCATACTCTAATTTGTATTTCATTATGAGCCAATCAGTCCTGTCCTGATATCCTGGGATATCAAGTTACTGACCTGATATGGCTACAATATCATGGGTCTTTCCATGAGTATTTTAGTTCCACTTTGTGTCACCAAAATACAAACCATGGCTCAACCAAACTTGCCTGATATGCCACAGAAGGTACAGTCAGGTATAGCTCTAATGATATTTAGAAGTTTGAATTTTGTGTTTTGTTGTTGTGTTACCAGAGAGTGGTATTCATACCATTTTCCTGAGCTTGTCAAGATAGTGTCTGACAACTACATGTATGCAAGAACAGCTCAGTACGTCAAGTCAAGAAAGGACCTGACAGAAGACATGATTGAAGGGCTAGAAGAGATAGTAATGGACTCAGCTAAAGCGAAGGCCATATATGATGCTTCTAAATCATCAATGGGTAGGTGAACAAAATTCACAAAAGGTACATGTGTCCAAAACCAGATTACAAGTAGTCCCTCTTTCACTTAGTCCATTGTGCGTGATGTAAAAGAAAACCATGAGAAAAAATGGCCACACAACTCTTTCACTTAGTCCATCATGCATGAGGTGAAAGAAGACCATGAGAGAAAGAAAGAAATCCTGGGGGCAAGGACTTCACACAGCCATTTTCTCTTGCCATTTATGGCCACGCTTGACAGACTAGCAGAAGACTTTACAGTCAAGCTTGACAGACTAAGTGAAAGAGGGACTACTCAACCGTGATAGGGAAGTACTGGTCACAAACTTACATTGTATGATAAATTATTAGTTAGAGCTACATTTCAGGTTTGACTCTAGAATGTGAAAGTGTTACCCTGTTAGCAGCCCTACCACAATTAATTCCTTATTTCTCCTTAAAATGCCTTTTGCAAAAGTTTGGTATGTACAGTACACTCAGAAAGGAAAAATCATCTCAATAAAAAGTAGGATTCTCCCAAGCTTGTGTATATGTAGTACTGAAAAGAAAGTTATGGAGTAATAAACGAGATGCGTGCCCCTGATGCTGTGTTTGTGTTAATGTTTTCAGGCTGATTAGGGTAAAAGAAAAGTTAAGTTTTCAAGATTATTGAATATGTTTTTGCCTGCTTGCCTTTTGTTTAGGAATGGATATATCTCCAATTGACTTGATCAATATCCAGACCTTTGCATCACGTGTGATTGGACTAGCAGAATACAGGAAAAGTCTCCACACTTATTTGGTTTCCAAAATGACCCAAGTGGCACCAAATCTGTCTGCACTCATTGGAGAGCAGGTGAGTGAATTGAATTTCCTTATGTTTGATCAGTATTGCAGAAAAAACAATGTGTTGTTGTTAACACTGTTCTCTCACATGACATGTCTGTTACATATAAAACACTCCAAACTTTGATACCCTTAGTTCCATGCCTTGATGTTGTGGAATTGGGATTTTTTGCACCTTCAAGGGAAATGAAAATATCGGTTTGAGAAATCTGAAGTTCAGGATATACATCGACGACGGGGAGTCCCTTAAGTAGTCTGTTGTGAGTGACACGAAAGAAAACCCACGAGAAAAAGATGGCTCACGAAATCCTGGGGGTGAGAAGTGCACTTCTCACCCCCACAATTCCTTTCTTCCTCTCATGGTCTTCTTTCGCATCACACACAATGGACTAGGTGAAAGAGTTGCTCGGCCATTTTTTCCTCATGGTTTATTTACGGTTTACTCAACAGACTAAGTGAAAGAGGGACTATTCGTAGACTAGGATATGCATGTATGGGGGTTAAATTACATGCAAACAAGTCCAGGAGAAATGAAGTTTGGTTTGAGTTGTCAATAGGTTCAAGAAATTGAGTGTTCAGGAAAACAGGATTCCACTTTATTCCCTTCGTGTAATTTCTGTTCAGGTTATGTGCCTGATAACTGTTAATATTTCAGGAACTGGTGCCTTTGTTTACCTTTTTTATGTCCAGAATTAGCTTTTAGTTATGTGAAGTCATTCATTTTAATATTTCAGGTTGGGGCTCGATTGATTTCTCATGCTGGAAGCCTGACAAATCTTGCTAAGTATCCAGCATCAACAGTTCAAATTCTAGGAGCTGAGAAAGCTCTCTTCAGGTAAACCTGAAAATGATATATGCTTCTTTATTCCCGATGGTAACAGTTTTGGCTTTTTTTACTATTCAACCAGCATTTCATTCATGTGGTACTGGTGACTTTTCTTTGAAAGGTTTATGTTAAATTGTACTTTTAGTTATAACTTTTAGATGAAATGAAAATTCTAATGACAACTTTTTGAAAACGTGGTACTGTGGCTATGGGAGTGAGACTAGAATTCCTTTATATTGTGTCGTCTCTCTCTTTTTCTAGAGCTCTGAAGAAAAAAGGAAACACTCCCAAATATGGCCTCATTTTCCACTCCTCATTTATTGGCCGGGCTGGTGCCAAGAACAAGGGACGTGTTTCTAGATACTTGGCAAACAAATGTTCCATTGCTTCAAGAATTGACTGTTTTTCAGGTAGGTTAGTACTACTTTAAAAGCAAACAGAAGCTCTAGTTGTTGAATGTCCTTCCACTTGAAAATTTATAATTGAGTCCACTATGCTTGCATTGTGGGGAAATTTCTAACTTCTAGTACAAAGTACAGTGGTTTAAATCTTATCAAAACCTGATTTTTTTCTAGCTCTAATTAGTACTTGCAAAAGCCACTGAAACAGTTACTTATATTGTTTACACAGTACGGTGAGTACTTTTCAACTCGAGCTGAGACATTGAGGTTCAACCCTAAAATGCGGCGCTTATAATGTGGGTCTACTGAGATCTGATTACTTGAAATTGCAAATAAGTTTAGCGATTATTGATGATTGATCTTTTTATGTTTTTCTACAAACAGAAACACAGTCGAGTGTATTTGGTCAGAAATTACATGACCAAGTCGAGGATCGGCTGAAATTTTACGAGACGGGCGAAGCTCCAAGAAAGAATATTGATGTTATGAAAGAAGCTATTGCTGAGTTTGAGGAGAAAAGTCAAGCAGCGAACGATGAATCGAGCGAGAAGAAGAAAAAGAAGAAGAAAAAGAAGGAGAAAAAAGAAAAGCAAGAAGCTGCCGAAGATGAAGAGCAATCAGCGATGGACGATTCTACACTAGTGGAAAATGGCCATGATGAAGGAAGCAAAAAGAAAAAGAAGAAAAAGGAGAAAGGAGATAAAAGAAAGGCTGAAGAACAAGATGACGAAGTTGTACCTGTCGTGAGTGAAGAATCTGGAGAACCAAAGAAAAAGAAGAAAAAGAAAAAGAAAACTGACGAGGAATGAGTAATTTGTATAGACAATTCCACAAACAGCGCCGATTAGACCAGACACTCAGATTAAACACAGAAAACTATAGGAATGGGGTGAATTGTTTTAAATGAAATCATATTTTTTTCAAGCTCTTTACTCCCCGAGTGTGGAAGTAATGTAACTTTTTGCTGGTATGATGTAAATGAAAATCATTTTTTCCCCTGATCTATTGGAATCCTTGTTTGTGTTTCTTCTCTTTTGCATCGGCGGTAATTTCATTTTACTGAACCAACGTCCAATCGGGCTTCATTTTAAATGAATAAAGCTGTTAGTCTTTAAAGACACTCTCTTTGCTGCGTCGATGGTCACTTGTTGAACACTTACAGCTTGTTATCAACTTGAAGTTGGTATAAAAGGTAAATTAATCGCCATAGCAAATTGGGAAAGCTAATGTTTGGAGCATTACTGATTTGCCTTTGCGGAGTGAAAAAATGCCAGCTTTCCAAATTGGTTACGGAAATTAAGGGGATTCCTTAGTAGAAGAACCCTCCATAGATTTCCGATGAAACTTGGTATGCTGTTGTTACAGGACAAGGAGATATTAAAAACGTAGCAACAAGAGGGGGTCACCGTGCTTGTTTTCACGCCACAATGCTGACACATACAGTTATTTAGGTGACTTTGGGTAATCTCCGTTTGCAATAATAAGCTCGATTATTTTTCAATGCAGCGTGTTAAATCACACAGAGTTTGACTTTCTTTGATTGTTTATTCATTTGCGTCCCAGAAAAAATGTCTTCAAATACCTGCATTTCTTTATGCGTTAAAGGAAACGTAATTTGGACATGCGCTGGTGGGCCCGTTATGTCTCCCTCTGTAGTATTTATTTCATTTGCCAAACAAGTA